CTACCCAGCAAAACTGAGTATAATCCTTCAGGGGAAAAAATGGTCATTCAGTGAAATAGAGGACTTTCAAGCATTCTTGATGAAAAGACCAGAGCTGAATAGAAAATTTGACTTTCAAATATAGGACTCAAGTGGAACACGAAGAGGTAAACAGGAAAGAGAAATCATAAGAGACTTATTAAGATTGAACTGTTTACATTCCTGCATGTAAAGATGATATTTATAACTCATGAGACCTTTGTCAGTATAGGGTAGTTGGAGGAAAAAAATTTTATGTATTTATGTAGATAGATAGATAGAGGGCACAGGGTGAGTTGAAGATTAAGGGGTCATATCTGGAGAATAAAATTAAGGGATGAGACAGGACAGTGGAAGGGGAATTGGGGGAAGGTGAGAGGGAATGAGTAAATCTTATTCTCATAGGATTTGGCTTAAGGAGGGAATAACATACATATTCAATTGGGTATGGAAATTTGTCTTACCCTACAGGAAAATAGGGGGAAAGGGGGACAAGAGAGCAGGGGAATGATAGAACGGAGGGCAGATTGGGAAAGGGGTTAATCAGAAATAAATATTTCTGAGGAGGGACAGGGTCAAAAGAAAGAATAGAATAAATGGGAGGAAAGGATAGGATTAAGGGAAATAGAGTTAGTTTTTTACAACATGTCTACTATGGACGTGTTTTGTATAACTGCACATATGCAACTTATATTGAGTTGCCTGCCTTTTCAATGAGGGTGGGTGGGGAGGGAGGAAGAGAGAAAATTTGAAACCTAAAGTTTTAAAAACATATGTTTAAAAACAAATGTTTTCACATGCTACTGGGAAATAATATAGGAAATGGGGTACAGAAGTCTACCCTGCCCTACAGGAAAATAGAAGGGGAAGGGGATAAGAGAAGGGGAGAGAGATAGAAGAGAGGACAGAGTAGGGGAAAGTTTAGTCAGAATGCATGACATCTTGGGGTGGGGGGAGGGGGAGATGGGGTGAAAATATGGAACTCAAAAACTTGTGGAAGTGAATGTTGAAAACTAAAAATAAATAAATTTGTATTAAGAAAAGAAAAAAAAGAAGATACTAAGGGAAGGGTTCAAGGGTACATTTAGAGGAAGCTGGCTTTGGAAATGAGAAGGGACACTATGTATTAGAGACTGAGATGAAAGAGAAAAGAGTAAGGATGATGTCAGAGAGGTGAGATTTAATGGATAGTCTCATTTTTTTCAGTGAAGTATGAAATGAGATAGAGTATGAGTTGAGAGTGTTGAATAGTAGATGCCATGGGATGTTTCAGAAGTGCTGAGAAGGTTTAGAACAGTTGTGGTGGTGTTTGGGATGATAGTTAAAGACAGGGAGATAGATTGCCTTGCTACTCTGAGGGCCCAGTTGAGATTAGATAACACAGAATAGTAGTGGACCGGATCAATGTGGTTTCATGGCTCCCTTCAGATCTACTCAGCGTCAAGTAAATAGGAAGAAAGTAGTCAAGTAAAGGAAAGGAGTCCATGGTTGGAGTTTATCAAGGCATAATTGGCAGAAGGACAAGGAAGTGATAGATTATAAAGTAGAGAATTGTATAGAATTAAGTTAGTTCACTAAGGTGCTATGATTGAGAAAGGAAGAATGTAGCCCAGGAATGGGGAACTTGTGGCCTTGAGGCTACATGTGGCCCTTTTACTGAATCCAAACTTAGGATTTCTTCTCTGAAGTTTGGATTCAGTAAAAGGGCCGTGTCTGAGGACCTAGAGGGCCACATGTGTCCTTGAGGCTGCAGGTTCCCCCATCCCTGGTGTAGCCAATATGGGGGAGATGGCTTGGGAAAGCATAAAGGATAGAAAGGCTGGAGGTCCCAGTGAGGACTAAGAACAGGTATATGAGTCATAAGGCATGGGGAAAGATAGAATGATAATAGATTATGACAACATAAGGGAATTTAGGAGTTAGTGAATATGGGAGAGGACCATTTGTAGTGATAGCAAAATCAAGAGAATGACTATCTGTGTAGCTGGGGTAAAGAAGAGTAATAGGTCATGGGAACTGAATAGATTAAGGAAATGGAAAGTTAAAGTTAAAAGTTAAAATTTGAGGGAATATCAATATGTGTGTTAAAATCTCCTACTATGGGTTAGGGTAGAGAGAAAAACTCAGAACCAGGCATTGAACATATTGAAAAAGGAAAGAGAATGACTTGGAAGTCAGTAGATAACAGCCAACGGGACCTGAGTTGGGTGATAAATTTGGGTAGCATGAGCTTCAAAGGATGAGAGAAAGCAAATTTTGACTCCCTCACCATGACCAGGGAGTTGGGAGGCATGAAAGAAATATGTATTTAGTGCTCAGAAAGGTCACTTATGTCAAAAGGAGGGGATAAGGATTCAGTGATTGCTAAAAGATGAAGGGAGTAGGAAAGGAAGTGGTTTAAAATGAAAGTATGTTAATTATGGAGCTGGAATTCCAAAGCATCTGAATGCTCTCCAAATTTATCATTACCCCTCCTAAAATGTAGCACCAGAACAGAAGACAGTAGTACTAAGTAGGCTAACAAAAGCAAAGGGCAGCAAGATTATGGTCTCTTTTAATTCAAGCTAGTTGGGACATGATGCTTCCCATAATCTAGTCTAAGATAGTACTGAGCTTAGTTCCACTTATTTTTCTCGTGAGCTTTATCTCTCCATACCTTCCATATCTTAAACTTGTGAAGTGATTTTCAGAGCACAAGTGAAAGATTTTATGTTTGTTGCTATTACATTTTAGTATATTTGCTTTTAGATCTTAACTGGTTATTCAACATGTAAGCTGTCCCCTAAGCTTTGTGCCTTCTGCAAATTTTATAGGCATGCCATCTAGAAATTTAATCAAGTCAATGATCATAATGCTATTTCTCTTATTGTTAATACTCCACTGGAGACCTCCTTCTAAGTTGACCGCTAACCATTTATGGATACTCTTTAGATCCTACCGATCAATTGGTTCTCAGTCATTATCCACATCTTTCCATTTTGTCTACAAGAATAGCATGAGAGAATATTCAATATTTATTGCCTACTGTAGTGCCAAATCCTGTGGTTGGAACTGGAAAAGAAAAAAAAAAGGATCAACAAAAGCTAGTCCTGACCTCTAGGATTTTACTGTGTAGTGGGGTAGATAAGACATGTGCACAGATAATGATAAGAGAAGTACCTAAAGAAAGAGATGAATCAGGAACTGAGTACAAAGGAGGGAGTGATCACTTTTCCCCTTGGACTTCACAAAGCACTTGGTTTGGTATCTTCTCTAGCATATTTATGATATATGATTATGTATCATAGATAATTAAGTATTTTGTCTTTTCTCCTTAGTAGATTCCAAGAGGATTGTTTAACAAATATTTGGTGACTGAATTAACAGAAATAAGGAAGCTAAGAGGAAGGATAGGCTTGGAGGAGAGGGGCAAGAGGATGAGTATAGTTTTGTACACAATGGATTTGAAGTGGAGATGTCCAGTAGGCACCCAGTAGTGCCAGAAAATGGCATTAAGATGGCCTCTAAGGGCCCTTGTAACTCTGAGGTTCCATTATTCTGTGCAATGAAGGACTGGACCTCTAGGGAGAGATTGGGACTGACTATAAATTTGGAAGTTATTCACATAGATTTTATAACTGAAATTATGGGAGTGGAGACAAATGTTGAGGAAGAATAGTTGAGAGAGAAGAAAGGTGAACACAGAGCCTTGAGGAGCTTTATCTTTAGGATTTGAGATGAGTAAGGGGACCCAGCAAAGGGCACAGATAAAGAGCAGTGAGAGCTGTAGGAAGAGAAGCAGGAGAGCAGAGTCTCAGAAACCAAGGGAAGAAAACAAGAAGGGGAGGATGAGACTGTTGGGTGTGGAAACTTTTTTCATTACTGATAAATAATCATTCCCTGGTTAAACTTATTTTATTGAATTATTTTACACTATATATCCCAAACAAACCATCCTTAGCAACATGTTGAAGCCATTTATGCTGGCCATGGGTCATAGAATGACAAAATTTTAAGACTGGAAGGTATACCAGTGGACATCTAGTCCAACCCATACCTGAAAAGAAAATTCTATTACTCCTTACCCACCAAGTCAGTCAGTCAACAAGCATTTATTAAGCGTTTGCCATGTGCCAGGCCTTCTAGTAAGCACCAAGGATACAAAGAAAGATGTCCTCAAGGATCTCAGTTTCTAATGAGGGAGACAGCAGAAAGACAACTATGTATGTAGACAATGCATACAGTAGATGGAAGGTGATGGCACTAACTGTGGGTAAAACCAGGAAAGTAAGCCGGGTAAGTCAGGAGGAGGATAGCCAGTGAAAAGGTGCAGTCAGGAGTTAGAGCCTTGAAAAATTCAAGCAAAGAAGAACCCATGACCAGTTCATTTCACAGCTCTAACATTGCCCCTGGTTCTGCCTTCTGCAGACATATAGAATAAGTTGTGTTATAGATTGTAAGCTACTTGAGGGGAGTTTAATTATTGTTTTTGTATCACTAGCATTAAGAACAGTGCTTGGCACATGTTGAATTAAATTGAAATTTAAACTCTCTTTCCCATGATAGCACTTCAGAAACTTGAAGATGCCATATTCCCCCTTACTTTCTTTTCTAGGCTTCTCAGTTCTTCTGCTGTAGCAGGCCTGCATCATTGCCTTTTTTCAGTGTCCATTGAAGTCCTTCAAGGCTTCTTCATGGCATGGGGGTGATCCTGAGTCCTTGAAGCCTATACCAGTAAATTGCAAGCTTTGGCAGATACTGCCAAGCTGGAAAAGCTTTGAAGACAGACCTGATGATGGTTTTGTGTGGCTTTTGTCCAAGAATCAGTCTATGACAGAAGAGTCACTAGTAGGTTGATCATGAAGTATTGGACTTTTGGGCCACTAGAGCAGTTCACAGAAATCGAAAGGATCATTTTCATTTGCTGGGCTGAATCTTTTCTCAGTACCTGGAGGGCTTTTTTCTTCTCTGGCTGACTTTTCTATGTGTCTTTGTCTTCCTAGGGAAGAGATGTTCCAGTAGAAGTTAGACATCTTTTCTTCTTGAACAAGAATCTCCTGTCCCTTAGACCAAGAGAAAAATGACCCACCTTAGAGGACACCACTTGATCTACCTCCTGGTACTTCTGGCACTTTGGAGTGGAGATGGCTGCCGGGCACAAAGGGCAGGTATGAAGTAAATCCATTTCCCGGAGCATATAGAAAATAAAAAGGAGGAGGGGTGGGCAGTGAAGTCATGTAGCCGGTAAAGCACAGGGCCTGGAGTCAGGAAGACCTGAGTTCAAATCCAACCTCAGATACTTACTAGCTGTGTGACCCTGGGCAAGTCACAAAACCTCTGTTTGTCTCAATTTCATCTTCTTTAAAATAGGGATGATAATAACAGCACCCATCTCTGAGGTCTTCTGAGCCTAAATCCAGGGGTCTTTCCATACAATGCTGTCTCATCTATACATCACATCCAAAATGTTAAACTGCAATCAGTTCTATTTTTCTATTACAGCCCCATCTTCTCTCTCTGCCAGCAGTGTTAAGGGTTTGCCTGTACAAAGTTCTGAGCTTGTTACTCTAAGCCAATTCTTCTTGAACCCATTTATCTCAGCCCTCACAATGCTTCAGGGTGGAACTGTTTGCCCCCTGTCTAAAGTGGTGATAAGCCAGGCTAGATTTAATTGGCCTTGACTTTGGAGATGGTGCCACTGTTCAGAATGTCAGAACTAAAAGAAAATTTAGACCATAGCTAGATCAACCTAGAAGCCAAGCATTAATTTTCTCAAAAGCATTCCTGATAATCATTCAGCCTGCAGTGATAAAGAACCCACTATCTCCCCAAAACAGCTCACTGCACTTTGGGGCTTCTTTAATGTTATAGGAAGTCTTTTCTTACATTAAGTCAAAGCCCACTTCTGCAGTTTCATTCCCTTCCCATTGACTGCTCCTAGCACTACTCCTTGGGGACAAACAAGTCTAATAGCTTTTCCATGTGACTGCCCTTCAAGTATTTGGAAGGTAGCTGTCTAATCCCTTTGCACATTCTCTTTTCCAGGGTAAACATCCCTAGCTCCTTCAACCAGATCCAGTAAGGCATGCTCTCCAGTCATCCTGACATTACAGTTACCTTCTTCCGGATGTGTCTCACCTTCTCAATTGTCCTATTGTAACATTTGCTATCTGTATCTGGATATGATACTCCACTTGAGCAGTCTGACTGGGGAAGAGGGAGATGAAAATACTTCCTTTCTTCTGAGTACTTTTCCTCTTCTTAATACAGCCTGAGATCATATTAGTTTGACATGACTCCCATAGCATAGTGTTGACTCATACTGAGCTTGTAGTTCACTGTAATTCCCAGATACTTTTTCATGTGAACTACTGTCTAGTGTCATTTTTCCAGTCTCATACTTGTGCCTTTTCTCTGGCTACCCCCAATATGTGGAATGTCCTCCCTTCCTCTCCTTTTATGAAATTCTTTTTTCAGTCATTTCAGTTGTGTCCAACTCCCCATTTGGGGTTTTCATGGCAAGGATACTAGAGTGGTTTGCCATTTCCTTCTCCAGCTTATTTTGCAGATGAGAAAACTAAGACAAACAGGGTTAAGTGACTTGCTCAGGGTCACACAGCTCATAAGTATCAGGCCAGATTTGAACTCAGGAAGATGAGTCTTCCTGACTCCAGCACTCTATCCATTGTGCTATCTAGTTACATCAAATTACTATCAATTTTTTAAAGCATAGCATGGAATATGTAGGACATTGAACTTTAGATCAGAATCAAATTGATATCACTTGTTACCTGTGTGACTGTGGGTAAGCAATGCCTACTCTGTAGGCTTCAGTTTCCACATCTGTAAAAAGGAGAGGTTGGACTAGATAATATCTAAGTGCCCTTCTTGCTAGCTCTAAGTCCTAGAGTTCTAAATACAACTTTCTTTAGGAAACCTACCTCATCCTCCTGGTTGATAAAGACCTTTTCTGTCAGACTGGTTGGCCCTTCTCTAATGAACTTATCTTGGAATATTATATGTTTTAGTTATATGAGTTTGTGTTATGTCCTCATTAGTTCCAACATTTAGCACTTTCTAGTCCAACCGCCTCCTTTTACAGATAAGGGCCCAAGAAGACTAAATTACTTGTCCAGCGTCACACAGGTAATATCAGAAGCAAGATCTGAACCAGGTCCTCTGACCCAAGAGGTAGTGCTTTCTCCACTGAAGGCTCTGAGCGCCTTCCTAAAGGCTTTGTTGTCATCCACAACACCAAGCATAGTGCTGTGCATATAGTAGGTGCTTAATAAATCTTAGTTGCTGTTATATAGCTGCTTTTTTGGTACTTCCAGGTAGTTGTTCAGTCTTTAGTCAACAAGCATTTGTTAAGCACATAGAACAGTGCCACTTAATAAATGCTTGTTAACTGACTATTATGTGTCAGGCACTATGCTAAGTGCTAGGGATACAAAACAAAAAACGCAAAATACAGTCCCTGCCTTCAAAAGTCTCACCAGCTAGGAGAGGAAACAGTATGCAAATAAATATGCACAATGTTAAGTACAGGATAAATTAGAGATAATCAAGAGAAGGAAGACTCTAGCCTTAAGGGAGGTCAGGAAAGCCTTTTTTTTAGAAGGTGTGATTTTTATAATGGTACCTGAAAGAAACCAGGGAAGGCAGGAAATGGTGAAGAGGAAGAAGAGAATTCCAAGCATGGGACAGCCAGTGAAAATGCAGTTAGGAGATTGAGTGACCTCTTGCCTCCTACAGCAGTAAAGGAAGCCAGGATCAATGGGGGACACTCTGAACCCCCAAACATGAACAAGGTCTTAAGAGCTTGGAAGGGATCTTGGAGATCTTCATATTTGACCACCTCATTTTATAGATGGAGAAAATGCTTTTTACAGGGTCACATGTAAGTAAGGGGGAAAACAAGGATTGAAACCCAAGTCTCTTTTCAATCCTCTTTCCACTTCATTCCGCTCCCTCCTTCAATGCATATAATCCAGCTGATTCCTCTGTTTTTCAACAATATTATACTGAAAACCTTTGTGGATTACCTTGGGTGAGGTGCCCTAAACATGTAAGCCTTTGTTGCTCCTAGGGCCTCTGGCTGAGGTTTCAATGGCTCTCAGCTATAATTATCCCAAATGAGAAGAAAAACTAAGCACCCCTGAGAACAAGAGAAGGACCTTCTGTGTTAAAGATAAACCTCTTAAGGAATTATCTGAGTCAATACATCTGGCAAACAGAATCCAAAAAAATGAATCCTGCTGTGGATGGGTTACCTCCAGATGGATCAGCTATGCTAAGAAAGGGATTTACTTTATGTTGAATATGTATCTTAGCATGAATTTAAAAAGCTACAGGTGATAGACACTTTTCAAAACAATTGTTAATATGTAATAAATTATTAAAAAACCCTTTGACAAAATGGTATGCAAATTAAAGCAACCTATCACATAATACAATGAATTGGTAATTAAAAACAATTAAAAGCAAGAGATTTAAAGGAAAAGGTACACTTGTCCATTGCTGGCAGAATTGAAAATCAGTTTGGAAGGTTATCTGCTTAATCAAATTAAAGTTATAAAAATTACCGTATCTTTCGACCCAATGTTCCCACTTTTGGGAATATACGTGGGAGTGTTATGGAAAGCAAAAGCTATCTGTTAAAAAGAATTTTGTAGCAAGAGTGTTTTAAATTGCCAAAAACTAGTTGCAATTTGACTGTCCAATGTTAGAGGAGTAATTATGTAAATTTTGGTATGTTCATATAATGGAATACGATAGTTAAGTTAAAATACACAAGCATGAGAAATATAAAGGAATATGAAGGTATTCTTATGAAAAAAATAAGCCCTTATGAGAAAAGCAGGAAAACAAGATACATACTAAATACAACTGGACAAAGTGAAAATGAATGAGAATGGACTCATGATGAATGCACAAATGAATAAATGAAAAACAAAGACTTACTATGTTCCAGGCACAGTGTTAAACATTAGACATATAAATAAGCAAAGAGCTTAAATTCCTGTACTCAAGAAGTTTAAATTCTGATGTGGGAAGATATAATTTAAACCAGAGCTAGAAAATGGGATGAGAAGGAAGAGTACCTGGGGGTTGTTTGGGAAGTGATCGAGTGGCCTAATTTTTGGATTTTGGGAGTCCCAGATGCATAATCTAAGTTTTAGTGGCAATTGGATGATGTGGATGGCAAGAGTTAGAGGTGGCTCAGTTTGGAAATGGCCAAATAAGAGTATGGTGGCGTGTTTTAGGCAAGTAAAGGCAACATCTCACCTATCAAAACTTAGGGATGAGGAGACTTGGATGGGACAACTGAAAGGTTATAACATTTCATTAATTGAAATTCATTTATTTACATGCACATGGCATCAACATACATTTAAGTGGTGGCATTAATGTTTTCTAAATGAGAAGCTAAAAAATGAAAATTTTCTAATGTTCACTGATTCTAGAATCTTAGCACATAGACTTAGAGCTAGGGAACATTAGGTATAGAATGTTACAAAATAAAATAGACAAATCAGAGCTATAAGGGACCTTAGAACATAGAGTACTAGACTTCTGGATATAGAATGTTAGAAAATTAAAGCAATGATATTAAACTCAAATAGAAACAAATCCCTGACAGCAGCATATAGACTTAGAAAACTACAAATTAACATTACCTTTGTTGTATTATATTTTTTAAAATTTATTTTGCTAAACATTTTCCAGTTACATTTTTATGGTTCCTACTGGGAGTTTTAACAGTCTGAAGCTTGATACCTTTGATGTGAAGCACCACAAATTAATCAGAGATTATCAGTGTCTGGAGTTCTTAATCGTTTTTGTGTATGTGTGTCATAGACACATTCTCTTCAGTTGGAGAAGCCTATAGATTCCTTCTCAGAATAATGTTTTTAAATGTATAAAATAAAACAGGATTGCAAAGGAAACCAGCTATATTGAAATACAGGTATTGATTTTGTTTAAACAAGATCCCAGGTTAAGAAACCCTGTTCTAATTCAGTCCCTCAGCAGGACTGGAATTTGGTCCAGGCTTTGTCAAAAGAGTCTTTTTTCATAAAAGATCTTTGAGGGTTTTCAGCTGCAGGTACTTGGAAGGTGGAAGCTACAGAAAAGAATGAACACTGGAGCCTCTCAGAGTCCCAGCTTCTTTGTTTTGACGGGGCACAATAATATAATTAAAGCTTTTACTAATAAGTATCTTTAGATGGAGTTTAAGCAAGAGCTCTTTATTAAGAATTCTGCTCTGTAGTAGGACTTTAGTAGAATTTCTTCTAATGAAGATGGGGGAGGGAGGGAAGATACGGTGTTCTCTTTATGGCATGTTGAGATTGAGATGCCTACGGGTCGTCCAAATGATGTTGTCTAGTAGGAATCAGGAGATGGAAAACTGGAACTCATGAGAGAGACGAGGGATGCTTATACAAATTTGATAGTATAGAGATATATAAAATGACTATTGGAACCTGAGAACTGACAAGATCCTCAACAGAAAGAATATAGATAGAAAAGAAGAGAGAAGAAGAAAAAGAGAGAAGAGAAGAGAAGCAGACAGAACTAGCTTATGAAGATTCTTAAGTGTTCATTGAAAGAGTGGGCACTTTTATCACATAGACAAGATGGCCACTGAAGGCTTTTGAACTTGGCGTGATGAGACTGCTGCATTTGGGAGAAAAAATTCGAGCTATATGAAGGATAGATTAGAGGGGGGAAGATTGAGAGACTGGAAGCAGGAAAACTAGTAGGAGGTTATTCTCATAGTCTGGAAGCAAACACTTAGTAGGATCTGAATGAAAGCCAAGTCTTCTGGATTGATACTCACTTGTCGTTCTGCCACAAAAAAAGACTTCTTTTATTGCACCAAGTTAGTAACTGGTCTTCATGGTCTTCCACTCCTAAAATAAGACACTGACCAGTAATAGATGCAGAGGAAAAAAGACCCTTACAAGCCTATCTGTCCTTACAAGTGAATACAGTCCAAGACTTGGAGTCAGGAGACTTAGACTCTAGTCCTAGCTGTGACATTTATCATGGCATCTCACATTTGGCAGAGTGCTTAGAGGCCATCTACTCCAAGTGATTCTGAAAAGAAATCCACTCTACACTATTCCTAGGTTACGTTTGAAAACCCCCATGATTAAGAACCTGCTGTCATTTGAAAAACACTTATGATTCAGAAGATTTTCTTTACATCTGTAAACACTGCTCATGATTTTTCCTTCAGGAGCCATGTAGACAGTTGTCATGTCTTTCTGAGATTGGTTTTCCCCACGATATAAACCTTCGTTTCTCAATCATTCAACAAATATTCTGCCAACTTGTCGTATGCCAGGGAAAGGAGATATAAAAACAAAAATGAAACAATCTCTTCCCCTGAGGAGCTTACAGTCTAACTGGAGGAAACCTCATAGATAGATAGATAGATAGATAGATAGATAGATAGATAGATAGATAGATAGATAATATGGTGCAAGAGAGGAGAGGAGAGGAAAGAAGAACAGAGGAGAGAAGAAAGAGAAGAGAGGAGAAGAGAAGGAAAGGGAAAAGAAGAGAAGAGGAAGAGAGAAATATAAATTAGATACAAGAAAATTTGGGTAAGAAGGCACTAGCATCTAGGGAGATCAGGAAAGATGTCATATAATTAGTAGTACTTCAACTGAGACTTAAAGGACACCATAGATTCAAAGGAGCAAAAGTGAGGAAGGACAGTATTCCAGGGATGGTAGACAGCCAATGGAAAGGCACAGAATGACAGTTGAAGTGCTTTGTATATCTAACAGTAGCATTAGAGTATTTTGTGTGTGAAGGGGATGTGTAAGTTGGTTGGGCTCAAGTTGTGAAAGCCTTGAACACTAAGCAGGGGAGTGTATTTTTTCATCTTAGAGTTAATAAAGAGCCACTTGAGTTTATTGAGTTGGAAAGTGACACGGTCAGATCTGTGCTTTAGGGAAATTTGCTTTGGCAGTGGAAGATGGATTGTAGTGAGGAGAGGCTTGAAATAGAGTCCCAAATTAGGAATCTGTTGCTGTAGTCCAGAAAAGGCAATAAAGGCTTGAATTAGGATAGTGGTTGTTTTGTGAGTTGAGAGAAGGGGATAGATGCAAGATATATTGGGAAGTAGAAGCAAGATTTGGTAACTGACTGGCTATGTGAGGTAAGAGAGAGTGAGTTGCTAAGGATGATATTGAGGTGGGTCACCTGGGTGACTAGAAGGATAGTATACCCTCAAAAGAAATAGGGAAATTTGGAAGATGGATGGGTTTGTGGGAAACAATAATGAAATTGTTTTGGCTGCCTTGACTTCAGGTTTCTTATGGGGTAACTAGTTTGAAATGTCCAATAGGTAGTTGATGTGGAACTAGAATTGGGTCTGAGTATATAGATCTGGGAGTCATCATCATGAAGATGAGATTTAGTTGCTGCTGCTGCTGATGATCATGTGTGTAGGTTAGAGAGAGAGAGAAAAAAGAGAGAAGAGATAGAGAGAGAGAGAGAAAGAGAGAGAGGGAGGGAGTGTTCAGGATAGAGCTTTGGGAGGACAATCACAGTTAGAGAGTATGGTATCGATGATGACCCAGCAAAGAAGGAATGGTCAAATAACACAAACACTTTATGGAAAAATTATTTCATCTCTTTGACCCCTTTTCTTCCTCTGTAAAATGGAAATAATATTATGCACTACCTACCACACAGGATTATTGTGAGAAATATTCTCTGTATACCTTGAAGCAATATGAGTTGCTTTTGTCACCACTGTTTCTTAATCAGTTCCTGTGATTTATTTTATATGTGTGAGGATTTCCCAGTATGAAAAATCTCTCTATAGGTGCTAATCAGCAACTCACATATAGTCATAGAGAATTATTGTTATTATTGTAACTTTATTGTGCTTTCTTCTATTTCTACAGGGTGCAAAAATGTCCACTATGATCTAGTCTTTATCTTGGATACTTCCTCCAGTGTGGGCAAAGATGACTTTGAGAAGGTCCGGCAGTGGGTGGCCAACTTGGTAGAAACCTTTGAGATTGGGCCAGACAGGACTCGAGTAGGTGTGGTTCGCTATAGTGACCGTACCATCACTGAGTTTGACCTCGGGAAGTATTGGACTCGAGAGGAAGTCAAAGCAGCTGCCCGGAACATTAATTATCATGGCGGCAACACCAATACTGGTGATGCGCTCCGCTACATAACCACATACAGCTTTTCCAAAGAGGCAGGTGGGCGGCCAAGTGACAGGGTCATCAAGAAAGTTGCTATCCTCTTGACTGATGGGAGGAGTCAAGATATTGTTCTGGATGCAGCAGCGGCTGCTCACAAAGCTGGGATCAGGATCTTTGCTGTTGGTGTTGGGGAAGCCCTGAAGGAAGAGCTCGATGAAATTGCTTCTGAGCCCAAGTCAGCCCATGTATTCCATGTCTCAGATTTCAATGCCATTGATAAGATCCGAGGGAAGTTGAGACGCCGCCTTTGCGAAAGTAAGTAAAACATTTCTTTGCCTTCTCTGTCTTCTGGAATATTGCTTCTTTTGATTCAACTCACCAGATGTCTGTTAAGCTCCTGTTGTATTCAAAGTTCTGTGTTCATTGCTGTGGGATAGGAAGTTTAGATGAAATATAGTCCCTGCCGTCATGGAATTTACACTTCAGGAGAGACATGCTGAACAAAGAGAATCTGGATTTAAATCCTGGCTCCCTTTACACATTGTTTGTGTAATCATGGACAGATCATTCCACCTCTGTGGTCTCATTTTTCTCATCTGATAAAAGAGCAAGTTAGACTAGGCAGAACATGAACTAGGGCAGGATGAACAGAGTTTTGTCCCAGAGCACCAAAATGTAGAGGGCCCTGACAGAATCAGTTTTGTACAAGAGTAGCCAAACCTGAGCTCCTCCTATTGTCTTTCATACCACCCCCAGAAGTGGCCAGTTTTTCATCAGCATGGAAACCTCACTGTGTTGTTAGAGGTATTTCCTCCCTATCATGGTCACAGCCCACAAGTGGGGAGCTCCTCCCCAACCATAACACTACTCTCTTGCCCCAAGAACAGTAAGTACTAGTCATAATTCTGGAACTAAATTATCTCTAAGGTGTCTTTCAACTCTAAATTGTATTAGGAGAAACAACAGATCAATTTTTTAATATTCTGTGTGTTTTGTAGTGTTATGTGTGATGCTTTTCAAAACCTTTTCCTTGAAACTGGTTTTATGATCCTACATTTACAAAAAAGAAAACCGAGGCCCAAAGTGGATAAATGCCCTGCCCACAGTCACATAGCTAGTTAATAGCAGATCCAGTATTCAGTTTGTTCCCCCACAAAATGAACTATAAAGATCAAGTGAGGTGATATTAAAATCTATGGATGACAGGAACTAAAGGTAGCATTAACTAGCTTAAATTTTGTCAATAGTCTGAAATTCCATGAGGCAGTGTAATGTAATAGATACAGCCATGGACTTATAGTCAAGAAATCTTAGGTTTCAGTCCCATCTCAGACATTTATTAGCATCAAGACCTTGAGCAAGTCACTTAACTCTGCCCCAGCTTCTTCATCAGTAAAATTTGGGTATTGAACTTGACTGCTAAGGTTCCTTTTAGCTTTCAATTTGAGACCCAGTAATCTCAGTTAAGGTGCATACAAAGGAAATGATTTTTAGGAGCTGATTCCCAAAGAGGACAATTGGGAATCTGCATAGCAAACTCTGTATTTATAAATTTGTTTTTGGAATTTGTTGTCACTAACTTGTTGCCTAAGTCCCTTCCCCTGGTCTGGCCTTAGTTTCTCTGTTTATAAAATGAGGAGTTAGACAAGGTGATCTCTGTGAGTCTGTAATGTTAAGTTTTCCCATCAGCTAGCCTTCAATTTTAGCCTCTGAGTGCTTCTTTAGACTTTTATGAATGCTCAGGCAACATGAGTAACACATCCATTATTCCCAAAGGTTGAGAGCTTGACATCATCAGCTCTCCACTCAGAGGCCAAGAGGGAACGGTGAGATGGCAATTTCCTTTCAGTTTCTTGGCCCTGATCTGCCAAGACCTATTCAGCAAACCAGAGCTGGGACTGAGGAGGTGAGATATAGTAAGAATGGAGTGGACAGATTGCAAGCCAGAGAGTGGTGTCTAACGTAAATTGTCAATTGTCGTTCATTAAAGCATGGGCACAGACATGGTGGGGATAGTTGGAGTCTAAGTGTATACTAGAGGTATTTAACCACAGGATAGCTTAGATATGCCAAAAATTAATTAGCTCATAGAGTCAGCGAATGTCAGAGCTACACGGCACCTTAGAACATAAAATGTCGGAGCTAGAAGGGATTGTAATGGGTTGTCTCACATCAGCCTTCAAGCAAAAGTTGTGTGGCCACTTGTCAGGAATGGTGTAGTGTCAGTCCAGTCAACCAGCTAGCATTTAATAAGTGTTTACTTGAGTCTCAGCTAAAATCCCACCTTCTACAAGAAGCTTTCCCCAATCCCCCTTAATTCCAGTGCCTTTCCTCCGGTAATTATTTCCCATTTTTCCTGTATATAGCTTGCTTTTATATATTTGACTGCAAACAAATTAGATTTTAAATTCCTTGAGGGTAGGGACTATGTTTTGCCTCTTTTTGCAGGCAGTGGGTTCTTAATAAATGTTTATTGAATAATTATTTGTGTGCCAGGCACTATACTAAGTGCAAGAAATAAAAATGCTAGTAGAGAGAAAGGCAATCTCAGCCCACAGGGAGCTACCATTATGAGGAAAACATATAAAGGAAGCTGAAAAGGTGAGGAGTTGGGAGCAGGGAAGAAGACAATGGTATCCAGTAAAGGAGTGGGAAAATGGTAGAGGAAGTCTGGGGTACAGCTTGAAGAGTAGCTGGCCCAGGCACCTTCTTAAGTGGAGGTTCTGGGAAGAGCCAGAAAGGGCTGAGGGTACATTCAATGTGTGAATTTCCCGACAGGAATGAGGCTTCAGGATGAGTGCTGGGCTTGGTAGAGGAATCCTGGTAGTGCAGCCCAGAGAAGAACAAAAGGAGATAGGTATGAGTTGGACTAGATGATCATATAGGGTTCCTTAGTGGCTCCAGGCTTGGGGGAGGGAGGGAGAGAGATATGAAATTCAGACAAGGCCTACTTCCTACCCTCATGAAGTTCTCTAGTTATTAGGGGATCAAAAAAAAGATTTCTATAATCTGTAGAGAATAGTCCAGTTTGACTGGGGCATAGTCTGCATAGACTAATGCATTAGACTTAACTAATAGGAGTTAAGGAAGAAAAACTCAAATGAAATAAGATTGTGAAAGGCCTTGAATGCCAAGTAAAGCAGTTGGCACTTTATCCTCTGAAGAAATAGTGAATCAATCTCTCTCTCTCTCTCTCTCTCTCTCTCTCTCTCTCTCTCTCTCTCTCTCTCTTCTCTTCTGGTGAGGCAATTGGGGTTAAGTAACTTGCCCAGAGTCACACAGATAGTAAGTGTCTGAGGCTGGATTTGAACTCAGGTCCTCCTGACTCCAGGGCCAGTGCTCTATCCACTGTGCCACCTAACTGCCCCAAACAAGGAATTCTTTTTTTTTTTTTTGGAGGTAAAGGGGTTAAGGGACTTGCCCAGGGTCACATAGCTAGTAAGTGTCTCAGGCCAGATTTAAACTCAGGTCCTCCTGACTCCAGGTCAGTCCAGTGCTCTATCCACTTTGCCATCTAGCTGCCCCCATCATGAATCTCTTTTATAACATCCCTGGCAGCCTTGTCTGAATGAGCACTCTGTTTACTGTCTGGGTCACTTGTTTTGTATTTTCTGTGTCTGCTACTTTATAATACCTCTTGCACTGTTTTTATCTTGACTCTTTATCTGTACACATGTATCTTTTTGCCCAATTAGGCGGTGAAGCCTTTAAAAGCAGCTCTTATTTCTTGTACTTCCTTGAATCCCATGCGGGTTGTCCAGGCAGCATTCTGTTGTAACAGACGAGCAGACATGTATGTGTTACAGGAATTTTTGATTTCCTATTATTCGTCCTGTATCTTTTCATTAATATTAACCTCACCTGACCAAAACCTCACCCATGGGATGTAAAATTTTACTTAGATAAGAAAGTTTCTCAGATAAGAAGCCACAGGAAGAATCTCAACTATCCCTGACTTCTTGGTGACATGTAAATCTTCCTCCTTAATCAGCTATTTGTGAATTCTCTAAATGTAGTTTAATCTATAACCTGACTTAGTTTACCTATAGAGTTTATTTAAATAAGTTTGTTTCCTTAGGAGATGTATGAGATTATGATGGTTTAAATAAGTTTGTCCAACTTTTATGACTTTAAAGGAAGTATGGGATTATGGATCTATCTTCTCTTTAGCTTTACGGCCAAAGGGGATTATATAAAATTTTAATATGTAAAAGAATTATTTTTCTATCACTTTGACATAATTTTGCCTATAGGAAACTTTGTCAAAATCCCCATGAGGGTTCAGGTTTTCTCTGAAGCTTGAACCTTTGCTTGAGTCTAATAATAAAATCTAAGTTTTTATCTCCATAGTTGCTACATTGTGGTAAATATATATTTAGCAGCAATTACCTAGTACCTGAACTCAGAATGGAGATATTTCTCCAATAACACACATAAAGGCTATGAGGCCAGCTTTGTCTTTATTCCTCTCTAAAAATTATTCTCCCTCTCTCTTTTCTAGACCCAGATACTCTGAGGAATCAGGGATCTTTGTTTTGTTTTGTTAACTTTTTAAGAGAAAACATGGTATATTGGACAAAGAGCTAAGAGCTAATTTGAGGGAAACAGACCTGAGCTGTGTGACTCCAGAAAAGTCACTAACTTTTCTGGATCTCAGTTTCTTCATTTGTAAACTGTGGCCATATCAGGGATCTTTAAATCCATAATTTGTTGATGTGGGAATGAAACCTATCTATAATTTAGCAGCTGGTCTTAGAGAGTTGTCTGAGCCTCACATAACGTAAAGTGACTTCATCCATGGTCATGTAATGAGTATGAGAGGCAGAATTTGAACTCAGGTCTTTCTGATTCCAGGTCTAGCACTCTACTCACTATATCATTTTTCAGCTTAGTGGTACAATGAATAGGGTGTTTTATGTGGAATCAAGAAGACCTGAGTTCAAATCCTATAGCACATACCCAGGTTGTTGTTAAGATCAAATGAGGTAATATTTGTAAAGCACTTAGTAAACATAGATATAATGTTAGCTATATAAATATATAAGCCTATATAATGTATATAAACACATATATCATGTTATCCATATAAATGTATATAAATCTATATAATGCATATAAACCTATATATAATGTTAGCTATTATTATCAAGATCTAAAAAAAAAAAAGAGATGGTATTATTTTTGCTGTTTTCTTGTACAATTTTGAAGGGTTGTTTTGGAGAAGCCACTTTGTAAACCTCAAAAGACTACAGAAATGAGACTTGTTAACTTGTTTCTTCCCTTTGTTTTGAAAAACAGAATTTATAGATGTCCTA